GTCCATGGCAATTCCGTCTTTCTGTCAGGAGATATCGTCAATGATGGTAAACTGTACATTAAATGTGCATCTTAGTAACAACTTTTCGGATATAAAATTGGTATTCTGATGCTTGAAATCACGTCCTCTGTATATATGCACAGGAAACAAATTGCTTGTGTGAGCGGCACGTTGGTAAATACAAGTTATAATTTCAGAGATTACATACTTCCGCCATTTACATTCAAATCTCCTATGCATTCAAAAATTTCAAAAGTCTGTCGAAAGGGTACTTACGGAGTGGTTTCCTTGTAGGCTCTAACATTTCGCACAATAGTTTGGTAATTGGTTGGTATGATGGCGCCGACATGTCTAGAGTTGGCTGAGGTTGTAGACCAGGCTTATGCAACCTTTTAGACCTCAGGTTCAGAAAGTAATTCTTCATGCTGGTCTCAGGAATTCAAAAAGGTTTTCATTTTCAGACAGTCGTTCGTCATTTTTCCAGGGACATTTGTCAGTTGCTGTTCAGTCAGTTCTGTCTTATTTTTCTCGTTGTTTGGCTTGAAAAATTTGCTATCATGAGAGGTGGGAGTAGTAAGTTTGTTGATATATATGCCTGTATCCATGAGGGCCACTGCTGAAACTTTATCTGGACGTGTAATTATTAAATCTTTATTGTTTCCCAGTTCTTTGAGCTTTCGTTTGTGTTCCTTTGAAAAGAGGTGTTAGACTTTGATTTCTGAGCGGAGGTACTGATTACAACATTTGAAGTTTTTTTCGCTTGAAATGTTAGAATTCTGCTTCAGAGACTGGGGTAATATCGTTTGTTCGACCAATAAGATTCTCGGAGTGGACATAAGCGTGAAGTCTGCTGTAGTTTAGATTTGTTTATCAAAACTTATGTCCAAAAGATTGGGTTTGTTATTATAAAGTCAGCAAAATGAGTGAAGTGTGGTTGAAGAAAAGTTTATTAGGGTCACTAGGGAACTTCCTCTGGACTTCGATGAATTTAAGGCTTTTGTTCATGTTCGATCTAATATCCCCAGCTTGTTTGTTCTGCACCATGGTACCATATTCATTGAACGATTGTCTTTTACCTGATGATAATTTACCAAGAGCTGAAGACCTCTGTGATATGTTTCACTGCAACTGAGGTTTATGGTGCGACGCTGAAGATTTTTAGAATTGGGTTACATATGATGCCTGCAGTGACTTTTTTCTCCAATCAGACTCGATATATCTTCACATTATCTTTACCGTTCATTACTAATAAAGGGTGTATCCTTTAGTGGAGTTCGTTTGGCATTCAGCTTATAAGCCACAGATTTCTGGTTTACATCAGGTGTCTCCTTAACCTCCAGTCACCATCTATTTCGGAGAAACAAGACTGCCTCGGAAATTTTCACCAACAATCTCTGTCACACTATTAAGAATCAGTTTTACACGCACTACACACAAAACTCTTATGGTTAGTTAAATAAAAGTTTTGCATGGAGTGGTAAGCATATGCTTTGTAGACACTGTTGGATATCACCAAAAGTTAGCAACCTCTAATTATTACAATCAGAATATTCCATCGGGAAATATCAAAATACCCATGATGGTAAAAGTGAAAATATCACTAACTTTATACTTGTCACTGCTAAAGAGTGCACTGTTCTATGGTCTTTATCATATTTGGAAAAAAAGATGAATTAACTCTTTGAAAACAATCTCAGGTAGGAAAATATAGTCATGCTTTATCGAGCAGAGTATGACTTTTATCCGCTACTTCACTCTGTTCTTCTAATTGCTCCAATGTTCTTATAGAAATTCTTAAAATACTTTATTATGACTGCCTAATTTGGGCTATAGTTCGTATCTATTCTTTAAAATGTTTTAGGATCTCAAGATATGTCTCAAGAATTTAAGTGACACATTGGGGATCTGCTTTTATCATTTCTCCACTTACTCTAACTTGCAAGTGACTACCTATTACGTTATCAGTAGTCACAGATATTTGAGAAAATAAATTATTTTCTTGCAAGTCATTTCGACCAACAAGAATTACGTTAGACTAGTTATCATATTTATGAATTATGAAACTGTGAATATAATTTGAAAAGAATAAAACAGCAAACATGAGCATTCTAATACAACTCATTCACCGAAGAGCGTGCCAGTTAGCGTTCCATGAATAGTAGAAACAAAAATACATCGTAATCACTGATGATTTTAATACTAAGCAATTTATGAATGTCTTTTCTACTTGAAAAGATAATCCCTAAAATTCGATAACTGCGATATGATAGCTCACATTAATTCAACTTTACCATTCTTTGTATGCAGCACCATATGTCTGTGTGACAGAATTCGTGGTTCTTTCACTCGGTCTCCGGTGAAGCGAACACTGAAAGGCATGCAAGCCTCAAAAGCAATGTTCATATCAACTGAATCACCAAGATAATCTTACTTGTTTAATTTAAACCTCTACGTCTTCCGAATACACGTCGTTAGACCACATAATTATTACTTTTGTCCGTTCTCTATCCAACCCAGACACGACTTCTTCGTTTGAATAACTCTGTGAAATCTTCAGTTGGATTTATTGTCCTCTGATTTTTATCCCGATACACTTTTTTGGCCTAATAGTATACAAACTAATTTTAATGATAATCCAGTGAAATGGTGTAGTATCAGTTTTGTAGAGCAGTACATTTCCGAGGTTATGTTGATCAGATATCACAGGAACAACAGATAAGTTCACATGAAACCCATTTTTTGAGCCGACAACTGAAGTTTCTTGTAGCTTGTGAGCATTTGACGTGTAGCATACATATGTAACAAGGCCTAAAATGCGTGTCACGTTATGAACATTATTAGTGCAGATCTTAATACCAAGACATCCTGTAATACATGGAAATAATAAAGGTGACATGATGAAAATGATTTGAATAGTTGGATATAAGGTATATTATACAACATAATGGTCTGGCTGTAAAAAATAAAATGAAATCTTTCAAACTATCGCTTCAAAGCTATTGTAGGGTATTCAAATGATACTTGATATCTTAAAGTGAAACAACATCATTTACGAGGCGTCTGATTGCAAGCTAACCGAAGACGCAACAAAGAAGTATTAGTACACGCATTCAGTGGCATGCAAAAAAGTCTGGTACACATTTTCTCTTTCTGACTTCGTTTCCTTTCGGATATTTATCTGCCAACTGCCCTAATAGGCACTTTACGCATTGCCAATGTAACAGAAATTCCTTAAACTCGCATTTAACTTTAATAATAAAAATTGCAAGTGCATGAAGACTGGTCAGGAGTGATATTTAAACGTAGAAATAGTTAAAACAGGGATTCACAAACATCAATTAAAAGTATGAACAGCTACACCCCTAGAAAAGATATGAGAATTTTTCTGCATAGAATCATGCTTCTCAGGACATGTTAAATTTTATAAAGCGTCTTTAGTTTACGTATTTGTATACATTAGCCAATTATGAGGCAACTGAAGTCTCTGGTTTGAAGTCGGTTGATAAATGGTCACTAGCAATGGAATCGAGGATACACATTTCGTCCTATCTGGGACTCATCATCTGGATGTACCTGCATTCCCTGGTGAGTGATGGTGTTCCCATTGAGACTGGAACTCAGAACCCATAGTTTCAAACCCCCCACTTAGGCCACGAGAGGCACCTCTTGTGCAATGGGTCTGATCAATCGGTCCAGTCAATCGAGAGGGAAATCTAAAATGAATCAAATAAAGTCTCTTGCTACCTAGATAATTTTTGCAGTATTTGTATTTCGAAAGCTTCTGCTTAGCATTGAAAAGATTTGAAAACCAATTAAACAAAAAAATGAAGACGATCGGAAACGTTTTTATTAATACAGTTGTTCAAGTAAAGTTTCATCACAGTGAATTATCATGCTCTTTTCAGTTGAGAGAAACACATTTCTACATGATGATCGCAATACATTCACATCGTGGTCAAGCATCACAGGTATAATAAGTGTGTTTAAGAAATAAGGTATAGTTATGAATGAAAAAGGCGAGAATACAAAACTTGTACAGGGGTGGATGTGGGAGTAAAACCTTTAAATAGAGGAAAAAGTTAACAATATTAGTCAAAGTTTATTTCGCGCCAACAGAATTGAATATATTGAACGTTGAACATCTCTATTATTATTATTATTATTACGGTTATTACTATTACCATGGTGTTGAAAACACAAATGATAGTTGAAAATTTGCCTGGTGTTCCTTGAATATAAATATTTTTTAAATATTAGTCAATCTGTGTTGCAGTACATAATGAATAGTAGGTATGCGAATAATTGTGCATAAATTATCTCATCTCAGAATACAGTTTTAATTTATCTGTCTATTATGCATCACACAATGATAATAAACCAAATAATAGAAAATTTGAAAAGGGATTTTGACAACAATAGTCATATATTAAACAGTACTCACTCAATATCTTGAGAATATTGCAGATTATAATATGAGATGGGGAACTTCACTATTATTATTATTAATGCTATGATTAGTGAAAGTATCAGTAGTACTAATAAATATTTCTTTTTCTTTGATGATTACGTGTTGTAAATACAACCTAGTTAGCAAGATATGTTACACAGCAGTATATTATTGAAATCAAGTAGTAAGGAAAGTAAGATTATCACTTTGCTTCAGTCAGTACTTGTCTGAAACACACTGGGGAGTTAAGGTATGAAGAAAACTTGTTAATATATATATATATATATATATATGCGCACATATAGATTGAAAAATAGAGTATTAAAAAAACGTTGATAATATATCACAGGTACGTTTATTTTTTCGACGGGCTTTACTCACCCATTATTGTAGTGAATTGTTGTCAATAGAATAAATAAATAAATCTTAAAATAAAAAGGAGTATATATTTTATATAAACACTTATACGTTTCTAAAGGAATAGATTTCTGATTCAAAAAAGTAAGGGGAAGGTTTTTTGACTACTTGTATTTTCTGAATTGCTTTATGAGAATTACTCATAAATCAGTTTAAACTCAGGCGGAGGTCCTGGATAATTTGTTCTGGATGTTGATGTAGACTGATGTGTATGTTTCTGAAAGATATTAGGTTTGATAATTTCAGGTGATTCATGAAAAGCTGTACTTGAGCTTCTTGTGTCTGGTGATTTCTCCTCATCATGATTTGTATAATAAATATTTGAATTTGTTAGAGCTTGTAGTAATGGTGTATTGTACACTTTGTTTGAAGTATACGTATTATTAGCGTTTTCAATGTATCCATTAGCACCAGAACTCGGTGAATACGATGATGATGATGAGTAGTTTTGAAGCACTTCATCCACTAACATGTCCATTCTTCCTGCTGTTTTAGTAACTTTTAGGAAAAGAGAAATATATAATAGAGAAATATTAGTTATGCAAAACAATTTTTACCTATATAACACCTTAAAATGTCTTACTATATATGAGATGCGTAATTAAAATGAATACATGTCTTGTTGTAACTGATCCTATTAGAGTGATTACACGTCCATTGAACTCGCTGATTTCATGCCCTGAAATCATTCATTTTTGCACATCAACTCTTTACCAGTATCCTTTACTCTACAAAACTGAAACATTCCATATACACTCGAAATTTTGCCGTAATTTTCCAGAAGACTACACTTAGTCAGAATCACCACTCAATGAGACTATATCTTTTGGCTAGTGTAAAACAGCAAGCTGTTGTTGTGGCAGATTATTCAGACCAGAAACTTAGCCAGAAGTCCATCAATTATTCATTTAGAAATCATATTTGAATAAGAAAAACTGCTTCAGATCGAATGTAGTATCTTGAAAAACATAACATATCACCTCATAATAAACTGATCAAATGCCTTTTTTGGTTAAAATTATATCTGTTTTAAACCTGATGACCAGTTAGTATATAGTTAGTGGACCTGGAGTTCCTTCGGATTCGTTATCAATTAAAAATTAAAGTGGAAGATGGCACCATACTATATTTTCTCGAAGATTCACTCTGGATTCCTATTTTGGGTATACTTTTTTTTTGAAAAATAATTGAAATTAAAATTACAGAGGAAAAAGTTATATAATTTTATATGTGGAATCCAAAACTAAGCCCCAAAGGTCAGGGTACCAATTTCCACCTTCTGTTGTAACAAAATGGCCTAAATTTTGTGCTGATATCTCATGAGTAATTTTCAAATGTTCACATAAGCAAAGGAAAATAAAATCTGGGGTAAAAAGAGAGTTGTTATTTCCGGAAATATTGATGGAAATATAAGTTTAAGAAGCAACTGAGTAAGTGAATTGGTCAGTAAACGAAATAGAAATAATATTTTGGGCGTGTTTTCTAATGATCCAGAAAGTACTTGGTGGATTTCACGTGAAGGAATTAAAATAAACCAATTTCACCTTTTTGCCGTTTGATATCCTACTTAATTCACCGACAGTAAGTTGGATTATTTTAATTTACTTTTTTTTACCGATGAGATTCATGCATTTGTTTGTTTTCAGCTCAGTCAAGCACAGTAACTGCATTACATCCGCTAATGATTTTATATCTATTCTTTGGCACTTACAGGTGTTCAGCATACAGTGAATGGAATGTTAAGGCTATTATTGCTTAATTTAATTTCGTAATTCCAGTTGACTGATTAAATTTCACCGAAATGTTCGGTTTCTTTAATTGGACACTAGTTAGTAAATAGTATAATGCGGATAGTCCTTTGTTTGGTTCGGACTGAGTTCTGTGAGTCAAGTCTTCAATGGGGCTACCTTGATAGGTCACTTGCAGTCACGATACATTGTGAATTGTTATCTTAAAGGAGGTCAATCAAGAGCCCTTATAGCCCAGTGATAACGTCTCTAACTGAAGCACTGGGTGACGCACGTTTGTACCTCAGGTTTTGGGTACTCCTTGCTGACAAGTGACGACTAGGGAAAAACCCAGGTTCAAGATTTCCTGCCGATTGCCTCCGACAACCTAATATCAACAATATTCTGTTTCTGTCGACATATTGACCCCTAGTGCAGCCCCAGATAGGGCGATACACGCATTCTGGATTCTACTGTGACTCACCAACCACCAGATAAGAGTAATGTTAAAGCTTTTGGATTTTTATTTAGCATAGCCTGATTATGGCGACTTTGTATAATACGGTTAGTACGGTTATGCAATCAAATACCTAGGACTGTAAGATACACAGGAGCCTTTAAGTATGATCTGCTCTGAATACTACAAAAATGGATCAATAAATATATGGTATTATGTCATGAAATTATTATAAATTTCGGAATAATTCTTCGATGAGCTATTTTGATATGTGATAGCATTATGTGAGAAGAGGCTACCTACAACGACACGCGGAGATACCAAGAAATTGCTAGGGTGACTGAAAATGTTCAGATAACAACAACATTTCTGTTATCGAATTTAACAGTGGAACGACTGATTCCGTCATGTTTTTTTGCACTTCCAAATCACAGTATCTACGTCTGAAGAAATGTTATAGTAGTCAGTTGTTTTAATGTCTGTGTATGGAGTAAAAACTGCAATATGTATAGAAATCTATTAGAGGTAATATATTAAACTAAAGTAATTTCGAACAAAGCAAGAACTACAGTTTTAGCAGAATAAAATGGTACCATCTTTTGTTTCGTTGCCTTCTCGTCAGCTGCTTACGGGGCAAAGACATTATTAAATGTATCTACAAAAACAATTTTAACATACTTGCACAGAGTTCATTTTAAACAAAAATCGATCAATATACGCATACACTAATAATATATACATATTTGTATGCAATATTAAACACTATTCTGAACAATAATAATCATACACAACGAAAACTTTTCAGCATCTTGCATTCGGATGAAAAATATCCAGTTACCAGGACGAAGAAAGACTGATAACCGCTTCTTTCTGAACGCACAAATCAGGTTTCAGGCACTTGATTGAAATGGCTTCAGCAAACTTGAGGAGAATTGAGCTCTTTTGCTTATGATAATTTTGAACGAGTTTTCGACGTCTATCTCATGACCCGTGTCGAGGAAAAGCCTGGCGATGGCACTGTTTAAAGCATTTGTTCCTTTTACACGTAAGCTTTTTGGTACATGTTCAGAAAATCATAGATATGCTTTTCTTTCTGTTCTTCCGATGTAACTGCTCCCGCAGATACATGTAAATTTCTATATACAGTTGGAGTTAACATGAGAAGGATATCTATCGATTTGTGATTGCACCAAAGAGCAAGTTGTTCGAAAGACGGGAACGAGCTTAGCTGCAGGATAGGCTATGGCTAGTGATGTACTCAGCCTTCTGTTGATCATCGCTGCAATGTTTTCGCCTTTATAATCAAGCTCAAAGTAGATTGGCTTTTTTCCTACTGTGATTTGTTTTTCATTTGTGACTTCAGATCTTCCATACTTGTTGATGAACCTTTGAGGGTACCCATTACTCTTCAGTGTCTTTTCAAGAAACTCAAATTCTTCCTCTAATTTCCCTATAGAGAATATTCTCCTCGCTCTATAATACAGAGTGTTGACTAAACCACGTTTACAGCTATTTGGACAAAAGCTATTGAAATGTAAGTATTGCCCTTTCCATGTAGACTTTCGATAAATTGACTTTTGAAGACTACCGTCTTCTAGGCGTTCCATGGCGATGTCGAGGAAGTGAAACTTTCCATCACTTTCATGTTCCATAGTAAACTCAATATTGGTGTGTGCATCATTGAATAATATCAGTAAGTGTGAAGCATGATTTTCATTTTTGCACACTGTAAATGTTTCATCGACGTATCGACAGTAGGAATTTGTTTCGTCGATTGCATGCTTCAACTTTGTTCTTTCAAGGTTGGACATGAATATATCTGCTAAAACAGGGCTAAGTGGACTGCCCATAGCTACACCATCTATTTGACGGTAAAGAGTGTTGTCGAATTGGAATTGCACATCCATGGTACACATAAGGAGTAGGCAGAGGGAGCATATCAGACTGGTGACAAATGATCTCAATAGTTTTGCTGATTGGAATCATTGTGAACAAGGAGTTTACATCAAATGACACACTTAAATTATTCAAAACGTTCATGTGGTTCACACTTTCGGAGAAATGAAATGAGTCTTTCATTGTGTGCACGCCTAGCCGTTGATGAATAGGTTCCAACTTCTCTGCAAGCCAACGTGTCACCTTATGTTGGGGCGAGTTGATCATCGAAAGTATAGGTCTCAGGGGGAATTGTTTTTTGTGTATCTTTGGAAGGCCATACATGTGTGGCAAGCGGGACCCTCGGGGTTTCAAATCACTGTACGTATTGTTGTCAATCATTTTCTTCTTCAGAAGATCTCTTAGTGCGTTTGTGATACGTTTTTCGACAGTATCTGTCTTATCTTTCTGGCAATTGTCAACTTTAAACCTCAACGGGCCCTGTAGGCAGCTGACGAGAAGGCAACGAAATAAAAGATGGTACCATTTTATTCTGCTAAAACTGTAGTTCTTTCTTTGTTCAAATTCATTAAGGGGAATAAATGCATAAAGTGATTTCATTCACTTGAAGGAATATGATAGTTGTAAGTAAAAATTTCACAGTGAATGGTAAATCTAACACACCCTGGAAAATAGCACAGCATCAAACAAGTGAGAAAGTAAATCACTGGAACTTTTTAACATTGTCAGATGTGAGTTTTGAAGCTCAGTGATGGATTTAAAATAGATATCTCAGAAAAAATGAATGAATCGATCTTCACCATTGACTAAGCCAAATTAGTATATGCTGTTGATGAAGAAAAGGACAAACCTCAGTAAATTTCCTAAACACCCAGAATCATAAAAGTCAGTGATCTGGGATTTAGACATATCTTAAGTTGCGTAAAATAATGTCATATAAAGTTTCGCTGCATGAAATATCGCACATAACTGAAGAAGTTTTTCAACTGTCCTTGACTTATTTATTTTCCTCAAATAAACTTCTTCAATGTACCACTGAGTGTTCTTGAACCAGTAATATCTAGGAGACAAATTTAAAAGCACATTTTTTCTGTGTTATAAACTACAACGACTCCACAGAGAACTATTAGACATTAGCATTTTACATTTCTCTAGAGTAATTCGCAATCTAAAGCAAGTTCTTGATTATGTGCAGCTTAATGTATTGATTCGTGACAGATTTATTATAAAGTAATTAATCTTCCGGCATTTTAACGCTTTAATTGCAGCTGATGATTAATTGTGGCATATCATCATCACTTAATCCCAATATTGCTTAATCCTTGTTACGAGTACACAAATATGAAGGTCCTGAAGTGCATCTACAAACAAACATAGTAAACCTTGGACGACACTTGTCCACATTACAGTTAGCTAACTGTCCACTCTGTGAGTGGTAGATGAAATTTTTATGTTTAAATCACTTCTTATTTCAGAGGTTCTTTATTCCAGGGGACAAGTAGAATGCAATTCCTATATAGATTATCCAAAACCCACAAACAGGGACTTCCGTTGCGCCTATTTCGGACGTGTCCAGGTCTCCATACCATCCTATTGCAAAATGACTGTCAGAACTCCTACAACCTGTTAGAGAACAAATTTCAAAATACTCTCTTCGAGACACATTTGAATTCGTTGACTGCATCAAAGATATGAAAGTGGGTGACAACCTCATGATATCACTCGATGTCGAATCTCTCTTCACAAATGTCCCGATTACAGAAACGATCTGTTTCTTATGAAATTACTTGGAAGACAATGACTTGTATATCTGAATGCTCACACCTATGTTATAAAGAACTTCTGCTTAGATGCATTTTGAACGTTCAATTTACACTCAGTGGTACCATTTATAGACAGCAAGATTGTATGGTCATGGGTTCATCTTTAGGCCAGTTACTTGCAGATCTTTTCATGGACAGTCTATGGTCTATTGAAGCCGACCATCGACAACTTTTCTCTGTACAAAATGTGCGATGATGACACTTTTATCATTTGTCTGTAAATGGAAAACGTATTTCCTGAAAATACCGTACGACAATAAAGTAAAACACTTTTTCTGGTCCTTTAAAGTGGTTGTCAAATAAGAAAAATGCTCTGTTTGAGTTTCAAGTCACTGATGATATGAAACTTGGGAATCTTCGATGTGGTACAACTAATGATTTGTTATAATAGTGAATCATTGAAGGAGTTTTTAAAAAAAGCTAACAAGATGACTTAATAACCTTTTCAATAACTTGTATATTTAAACAAAGGAGATTTAAAGCGCTAAAAGTCAAATTCGAAAGAATATAGAAATCCAGTAAATAAATAAATACGATATAAGAATTTCAAAGAAGATAAAAATGAACACATATGAGTTACTATTTTCTATTCCATTCAGTATCATACTTTGTTTTAAGCACAGATTCATGGGAGCAAACAGACAATAGTCTGTTCTTCTGTATTGTTGAATGTTTGTTCGACACATATGACCACTTTGGGGGACTGAATTTAAGAAATGTCGAAATCAAACGATATTTGTAGACAACCATAATTTGTGGGTATTCCTCTTCACTTTCTCCACATATATCTATTTATGCGTGTGTCTATCTCCTCAAAATAATTAAGGAGTAGACTTGAGCTCGGTAGTTTCTCTGATTGGCATACAGCACACTAACGACTGAAATTTATTGCAGAGAACGATCATATTTTCTAGTTTGTGAATTTCTGAAATGTATCTGTCACCTCTCCAACATAGAATATTTAATCAGTACTGATATTTATTGAGACGTATTGACTACAAACGATGTAATTATGCATTCTGAACACATCTTTGCATGATGAGTGACACTGGAGATACAAGACACCCATTTTCCTATTCAAACTCTGCTATTTAAAGACTGGAACTGATTAATGTACCGTTCATCAGTGTTCTCTGGCAAATTCCATAATGGTATTAATGACATTTTAAAAATACAAGTAGATATCTTCATAGTCACACAAAGGATGTTATTATAATTGTACGTAAATGTATTTTTTAATCTACCGATGAACGTTTTCATGTAACATATAACCACTGAGTATTCGCTTAAACTTATAAAAATGCTTTGGTTTTAATTTTTATCATATTGCAAGAAGGTAGTATCTACTCTGCAAAATATCAAACTAACTTACTGTGAGTATTTTCATAGAACTCTAAAGCCTCTTTGAATAATGATCCAGGGATATTGGAATACAGCTTTATGGTTTGCTTTCCTCCAAACATGTTCACATCTTCAGGTGTCAGCAGTGATGACAACTTATCTTTATGCTTATTTATTTCATCTTCTGTATTGCCCAGATGTTGACTTACTGATTCATAATGAGCATTTTCAGGTTGTAGACTTTCGCGTAATGATTTGGTTATCATTTCTTTTAACTTTACTATGACCGTTGCCAGTTCATCTGTTAGAATTACAAAGAAATATTTAGTAACAGAAAATTAATTATATTCCGGAATATAAATAAATATATGGTAAGAAACTCATCTTGGGATATTATACAAATATATATATATATAAACATTTGCTTTCCCCGTGCAGATTCGTCATCAGTTCCTCCTCGAATCTCTGTTGGTCGTCTCATATCCTGTTGATTTCGGAGAACATTATTCCTTTGACTTACTGTATAAAGAAGTTGAGACTTTCTGGAGTAAATCAGCCTCTTCTCTTAAAATCTGTTTAATTCATGTATCCTATCCATTCTTCCTTATTGTTCTCCCCTATTCTTCTCTGAACTTCTGAAGAATGACTATATCATATTAGGTAGAACACTGAAGGTTGTAAGTAGGGTAAGGAGTGTACCTTTCTCTCAGATAACTGACATTATTGTCAATAGGCATTTCATTTTTTGCAAGTAGTTGGAGAAAGTTATCTTGTCCGATACTGAACATCCTCTTTATTCACAACTTTTTCTTTGTATACCTTCGGGTAAGACCAGAAGAAACTTCATTAAAATTTATACCGGTATAACTAAATATTAAGGTTCTACTTTACAGCATTAGCACGGCGTTTTTGTCAGAAAACAACTCAAAAACTTCTTAAATGTTTAACTGAAATGCAAAGTATGGGCAAAGATGATCATTACATGTATTATCTATGATAGTATCTAATTATAATTCATTGTGTTTCCGCCAGCATTCTGTTTGTATTGGTTTCACTATTATTATTATTTCAACCTAATATATGTACACTGTTAAAGAAGGAGGTGATGTGTTGTAATATGTGTAAAAACGCTGAAAATTCTCACTGTATAATTATACTTTTTGGGAATAAAATGCTTATATGTATATATGGATGATAAATGTAACCAGAGTGAAAAACTCAGCTCGGAAATATTCTGATTTCAATATACTAGAACCTTGATTATAATACCAGCAGCTTCAAAAAAAGTATAACTTCCTACGTCCATTTGTAAAGAAATAAAGTTGAAATAAATTTAACAGTAATATTATAAATTTATTTGTCTTACTGTCCATAGAGATAGTTTTAAGAAATGGTTAGTAGAAATTTGAAAAGTTACCCATGACAAAATATGCATCCATGTTTATTGCAATTTAGAAACTGCATATTTCAACAATATGGCATTTGTACGGAACTTTAGACACTGACACTGTTTTTCAGCACAACATTTAGACGGTTTCAGACTTTCTCTGGTAAGTAACGCTCTGTAATACTGAATGATCGATGTGGCTAGTTGGGCACACTAACAGCAGCTGCTATTACTGATACTAATGTGCACTGTCATTATGAGTTCCTAAAATTTTAGCCATATATATATATATAATTTTCTTCTGTCAGTGTGATTCTGGTGGCTTAAATATAAACCCTTCATTAACTATTAGATAGAATCGCTGACGTTAACTTCATTTTAGTATTCAAGAATATAATGATGATAAAAGAATTCATCCGAGTTGCAGTTCTCCTCCATTACATATATGGTTCCTAACAAAGAAATTTTAGTGTGAGTTCATGTTTATTTTCATGCTGGAAAGTAGATTATTTGATGGAATAGAATTATCAGAGAGGTAATCTTAAATTAAAAATTTTGGTGGGTTTATGTGATTGTGCCACGTCTTGTTGCATTGCATCCTGCCAACTTACTCCTACCAATATATTAGATTAGATTACAGTACACTAAATGTTAAAATATTTTCATACTATACGACTTAGAAACGTTTTTACATTTACTCGGTATATTTCATTCAAAGCCCGACAATATAAGCATTAAATAAATGCGTTTTGGGAATGATTTTGAGTGATTCTATTTTTCGAATTACTAATTTGGATTCTAATTTGCTTCTATTGGTAAAATAAGCAGTTTTCATATAATTTTTTTGACTGACATCACTAGAACTAACCATGAGGTAAATGTTCATTCTCAGATGACATCAAATCTCTAAAACAAATAAGAGTCATATAAAAAAGGGCAAGCGTTCAGTGAAGAGTTACCCTTTTCGGTGATATCATTTTTCTTTGCCTTAGTAAGGTGCCTCTTCAGTAGAATCCAACGAATATGCACTGAAGACACACTTGATGCGGAAGAAGGAAAGTTGACACAAACTCTGGTTGATAACAATTATCCAGACAAGTTCATCAGGAGATATAAAGTAGTCAGAACACCAAGACCCACTCTCCAACTCGCCCCTAAGAAAGACGTGTACATCAAGCTACCCTATATGGGGCATCAAAGCAGCTTGATGACTAGACAAAGACTGAACGCTGCTGTCAAAAAGACTTTTCATGCAGCCAATATCATAATAATAGAGAAGGTAAAGCTAATATATCTATCTAAGCCCTTCGAACATGAGAAAAATGACGTCACATCCCACTGTATTTACCAATTTGAATGTACGTGTGGACACACATACATAGGGAGGACTCAACGATCTCTGCAAGTAAGGGCTTCAGAGCATATTCCTAAATGGCTCCAGAAACAAATGGAATCTTCAGAACCCATTAATGGTGAGAACAGGAGACCTAGCTCACCTATTGCAAAACATATTATAGAAACAGGACATAAAATTGACGTTAACAGATCTTTTAAACCTATCTATAAAACGTGTTTTGGGGCGTATCCTAAAGTTTGTGGAAGCCCTAGCAATTAGAAAGTTTAAGCCACCTTTATGAGTTCAAAAACAATTTGTCATCACATTAAACCTTCCTTGGTAAATTTTGTTTTGACACCATAGCAGATGTACTATTACCTCTGTTATTTGGTTTAGTGGTCTTCATTGTTACTTTGACCTTGAATATGTCCTTTAAACTTGACCTAAGTCTATCTTCTCACCTCTTACCTCTTTATTAATTTCATATATATTCCTATGACAAGTCCGTGTGTGATCAGACTGTTCGAAATGTGTTGCGCAAATACATTACACGATTCAGACAAATTACGTCTTCTTATTGCTTTATCTAAATTCATAAAAGGAACTAATTGTTTTAAACAGAAGCTTTGTTTATTGAATCAACTGCAAATACATGTAATAGGAATGATCCATCACCTGTCCCCGATATATGGAATATTCTACTCCCCCTACGACAAATTGGAGGAAACAAAGAAAGCTATAAAACTCAAGTGTCAAAGTCGTGTGATCACAATTGATATGATTATGAACAATAAATTTGGTTCGAAACGTCATCCAGTAAATAATACTGTTTCACTGTGTGATTTACCTAATAAACAAACTAATATGGAATTACTTACTACCAGAGTGCCCAAGTTTTACACATATATTAATGTTTGGTCTTAAGATAGATCAGGTCCACTGTAGAGTTAATGACTGAACAAACTTCTTTTGTATGCGTAGTTCAGGATTTAACATGTGAATTGCGATTGCTTTTGTGGTTTGGAGAAGTTTGATTCATACTCTCATAGTGAGATTGCCACGTATTCTTAAGATAAATTTGAGGTTGTTTTGTGGGTTAGCTTGGTGTTCATATTCGATCAAGTGTTCCAGGATGGAGCTTCAGGGAATCAATTTTCTCTGATATTTTCAGGAATTTCAAAATGAATATTAGACATTTCAAAATATTTTGTAGATTGTAATCAACTACTGTTAACTGATTTGTGGGAACATTGTGTCTGTATAACGTATACTACTCTCTAAGAGTAAGTAGCTAAAGTAGAAAGCACAGAAAATATGTAACATGTGTCCATCACCTAGAAGACTGATAAAGGTTTTAGAACCTTTGCGAAGTCTGATACTGATCACATGGGTTCTAGAAAAGGGAAATCCCGTCTGATTTCTTCAGGAAGTTAGCTCTTAGTAATCTGACAATGTACAATAAGAACACAATATTCAGTAAAGAGAATTTTCAACGAATTGCACTTCATATTATTATTTCATGTGTTCACACTTTTGATATAATCCCATCAACGGATATAATTTCATAAAAACTATATATGTACGATAGTACAGATTGATAAAAAATTCGTTGGAAGGTGAATATTGTGTTCTTAATGCTACAATGGGAATTCATAAATTAATGTACAATAAATAAACCAGGAGGACTTCAAGATAAAGAATAAGCAGAAAAACCAGCACTTCCAGAATTACTCCAAGACGGTCATTATCAAAAGGTTAAAATATGTTTTTCTTGTTTAAAAACATGCCATAGTTGACCCTTCTCTTTATCTGGGTATCTTGTTTTATTTTGTCCTCTTTACGCCTAGTTATTGACATTTCACGGAATAAGCCATGTTTTCATTATGCCTGAATTCAAGTAAGTTTAACTGGTTTTATTTTAGGAATTTTGTTGAGCAACATTTTCTGAAAGATCACATAATCTTTTGTGTTACATATTTTGCCTACTTAACAGACCAAAGTATGTTAAGACTGTAATATGATTATTTACTTCGATTGGCCAAGTGTTACACAAATGACAAGATATTGACGAAATAAAATGTATCTGTTGTATGTTGTTCCATTAATTTTTACTGCTCTCCCAAAGTTCATCAACAGAAATGTTAGCATGAAACAAATACTGAAGTACATTATAAATTATTTAAATTAATCCCAGCGTGTTAAGAAAATCAAAACAAGATTTTTCTGAACGTTTCGCTGTGTAAGCCACAGCTTCTTCAGCAGATTTATTCGGATTTTAATAATCATCAAAATATATATCTTGATGATTATTAAAATCCGAATAAATCTGCTGAAGAAGCTGTGGCTTACACAGCGAAACGTTCAGAAAAATCTTGTTTTGATTTTCTTAACACGCTGGGATTAATTTAAATAATTTATAATGAATCAATCTGACTCGGCGCTCAAATTATTTCAGGAAGTTCGTAACACCTACGGCCTGGAAACCTATAAAATACTGAAGTACTACACATCTGTGAGACATATTTTTCTTATTTTTAAGAAATTTATGACCATAGGGAATAAAAAGACAGTCGCAGCG